CCCCCCCCCCCCCCCCCCCCCCCCCCCCCCCCCCCCCCCCCCCCCCCCCCCCCCCCCCCCCCCCCCCCCCCCCCCCCCCCCCCCCCCCCCCCCCCCCCCCCCCCCCCCCCCCCCCCCCCCCCCCCCCCCCCCCCCCCCCCCCCCCCCCCCCCCCCCCCCCCCCCCCCCCCCCCCCCCCCCCCCCCCCCCCCCCCCCCCCCCCCCCCCCCCCCCCCCCCCCCCCCCCCCCCCCCCCCCCCCCCCCCCCCCCCCCCCCCCCCCCCCCCCCCCCCCCCCCCCCCCCCCCCCCCCCCCCCCCCCCCCCCCCCCCCCCCCCCCCCCCCCCCCCCCCCCCCCCCCCCCCCCCCCCCCCCCCCCCCCCCCCCCCCCCCCCCCCCCCCCCCCCCCCCCCCCCCCCCCCCCCCCCCCCCCCCCCCCCCCCCCCCCCCCCCCCCCCCCCCCCCCCCCCCCCCCCCCCCCCCCCCCCCCCCCCCCCCCCCCCCCCCCCCCCCCCCCCCCCCCCCCCCCCCCCCCCCCCCCCCCCCCCCCCCCCCCCCCCCCCCCCCCCCCCCCCCCCCCCCCCCCCCCCCCCCCCCCCCCCCCCCCCCCCCCCCCCCCCCCCCCCCCCCCCCCCCCCCCCCCCCCCCCCCCCCCCCCCCCCCCCCCCCCCCCCCCCCCCCCCCCCCCCCCCCCCCCCCCCCCCCCCCCCCCCCCCCCCCCCCCCCCCCCCCCCCCCCCCCCCCCCCCCCCCCCCCCCCCCCCCCCCCCCCCCCCCCCCCCCCCCCCCCCCCCCCCCCCCCCCCCCCCCCCCCCCCCCCCCCCCCCCCCCCCCCCCCCCCCCCCCCCCCCCCCCCCCCCCCCCCCCCCCCCCCCCCCCCCCCCCCCCCCCCCCCCCCCCCCCCCCCCCCCCCCCCCCCCCCCCCCCCCCCCCCCCCCCCCCCCCCCCCCCCCCCCCCCCCCCCCCCCCCCCCCCCCCCCCCCCCCCCCCCCCCCCCCCCCCCCCCCCCCCCCCCCCCCCCCCCCCCCCCCCCCCCCCCCCCCCCCCCCCCCCCCCCCCCCCCCCCCCCCCCCCCCCCCCCCCCCCCCCCCCCCCCCCCCCCCCCCCCCCCCCCCCCCCCCCCCCCCCCCCCCCCCCCCCCCCCCCCCCCCCCCCCCCCCCCCCCCCCCCCCCCCCCCCCCCCCCCCCCCCCCCCCCCCCCCCCCCCCCCCCCCCCCCCCCCCCCCCCCCCCCCCCCCCCCCCCCCCCCCCCCCCCCCCCCCCCCCCCCCCCCCCCCCCCCCCCCCCCCCCCCCCCCCCCCCCCCCCCCCCCCCCCCCCCCCCCCCCCCCCCCCCCCCCCCCCCCCCCCCCCCCCCCCCCCCCCCCCCCCCCCCCCCCCCCCCCCCCCCCCCCCCCCCCCCCCCCCCCCCCCCCCCCCCCCCCCCCCCCCCCCCCCCCCCCCCCCCCCCCCCCCCCCCCCCCCCCCCCCCCCCCCCCCCCCCCCCCCCCCCCCCCCCCCCCCCCCCCCCCCCCCCCCCCCCCCCCCCCCCCCCCCCCCCCCCCCCCCCCCCCCCCCCCCCCCCCCCCCCCCCCCCCCCCCCCCCCCCCCCCCCCCCCCCCCCCCCCCCCCCCCCCCCCCCCCCCCCCCCCCCCCCCCCCCCCCCCCCCCCCCCCCCCCCCCCCCCCCCCCCCCCCCCCCCCCCCCCCCCCCCCCCCCCCCCCCCCCCCCCCCCCCCCCCCCCCCCCCCCCCCCCCCCCCCCCCCCCCCCCCCCCCCCCCCCCCCCCCCCCCCCCCCCCCCCCCCCCCCCCCCCCCCCCCCCCCCCCCCCCCCCCCCCCCCCCCCCCCCCCCCCCCCCCCCCCCCCCCCCCCCCCCCCCCCCCCCCCCCCCCCCCCCCCCCCCCCCCCCCCCCCCCCCCCCCCCCCCCCCCCCCCCCCCCCCCCCCCCCCCCCCCCCCCCCCCCCCCCCCCCCCCCCCCCCCCCCCCCCCCCCCCCCCCCCCCCCCCCCCCCCCCCCCCCCCCCCCCCCCCCCCCCCCCCCCCCCCCCCCCCCCCCCCCCCCCCCCCCCCCCCCCCCCCCCCCCCCCCCCCCCCCCCCCCCCCCCCCCCCCCCCCCCCCCCCCCCCCCCCCCCCCCCCCCCCCCCCCCCCCCCCCCCCCCCCCCCCCCCCCCCCCCCCCCCCCCCCCCCCCCCCCCCCCCCCCCCCCCCCCCCCCCCCCCCCCCCCCCCCCCCCCCCCCCCCCCCCCCCCCCCCCCCCCCCCCCCCCCCCCCCCCCCCCCCCCCCCCCCCCCCCCCCCCCCCCCCCCCCCCCCCCCCCCCCCCCCCCCCCCCCCCCCCCCCCCCCCCCCCCCCCCCCCCCCCCCCCCCCCCCCCCCCCCCCCCCCCCCCCCCCCCCCCCCCCCCCCCCCCCCCCCCCCCCCCCCCCCCCCCCCCCCCCCCCCCCCCCCCCCCCCCCCCCCCCCCCCCCCCCCCCCCCCCCCCCCCCCCCCCCCCCCCCCCCCCCCCCCCCCCCCCCCCCCCCCCCCCCCCCCCCCCCCCCCCCCCCCCCCCCCCCCCCCCCCCCCCCCCCCCCCCCCCCCCCCCCCCCCCCCCCCCCCCCCCCCCCCCCCCCCCCCCCCCCCCCCCCCCCCCCCCCCCCCCCCCCCCCCCCCCCCCCCCCCCCCCCCCCCCCCCCCCCCCCCCCCCCCCCCCCCCCCCCCCCCCCCCCCCCCCCCCCCCCCCCCCCCCCCCCCCCCCCCCCCCCCCCCCCCCCCCCCCCCCCCCCCCCCCCCCCCCCCCCCCCCCCCCCCCCCCCCCCCCCCCCCCCCCCCCCCCCCCCCCCCCCCCCCCCCCCCCCCCCCCCCCCCCCCCCCCCCCCCCCCCCCCCCCCCCCCCCCCCCCCCCCCCCCCCCCCCCCCCCCCCCCCCCCCCCCCCCCCCCCCCCCCCCCCCCCCCCCCCCCCCCCCCCCCCCCCCCCCCCCCCCCCCCCCCCCCCCCCCCCCCCCCCCCCCCCCCCCCCCCCCCCCCCCCCCCCCCCCCCCCCCCCCCCCCCCCCCCCCCCCCCCCCCCCCCCCCCCCCCCCCCCCCCCCCCCCCCCCCCCCCCCCCCCCCCCCCCCCCCCCCCCCCCCCCCCCCCCCCCCCCCCCCCCCCCCCCCCCCCCCCCCCCCCCCCCCCCCCCCCCCCCCCCCCCCCCCCCCCCCCCCCCCCCCCCCCCCCCCCCCCCCCCCCCCCCCCCCCCCCCCCCCCCCCCCCCCCCCCCCCCCCCCCCCCCCCCCCCCCCCCCCCCCCCCCCCCCCCCCCCCCCCCCCCCCCCCCCCCCCCCCCCCCCCCCCCCCCCCCCCCCCCCCCCCCCCCCCCCCCCCCCCCCCCCCCCCCCCCCCCCCCCCCCCCCCCCCCCCCCCCCCCCCCCCCCCCCCCCCCCCCCCCCCCCCCCCCCCCCCCCCCCCCCCCCCCCCCCCCCCCCCCCCCCCCCCCCCCCCCCCCCCCCCCCCCCCCCCCCCCCCCCCCCCCCCCCCCCCCCCCCCCCCCCCCCCCCCCCCCCCCCCCCCCCCCCCCCCCCCCCCCCCCCCCCCCCCCCCCCCCCCCCCCCCCCCCCCCCCCCCCCCCCCCCCCCCCCCCCCCCCCCCCCCCCCCCCCCCCCCCCCCCCCCCCCCCCCCCCCCCCCCCCCCCCCCCCCCCCCCCCCCCCCCCCCCCCCCCCCCCCCCCCCCCCCCCCCCCCCCCCCCCCCCCCCCCCCCCCCCCCCCCCCCCCCCCCCCCCCCCCCCCCCCCCCCCCCCCCCCCCCCCCCCCCCCCCCCCCCCCCCCCCCCCCCCCCCCCCCCCCCCCCCCCCCCCCCCCCCCCCCCCCCCCCCCCCCCCCCCCCCCCCCCCCCCCCCCCCCCCCCCCCCCCCCCCCCCCCCCCCCCCCCCCCCCCCCCCCCCCCCCCCCCCCCCCCCCCCCCCCCCCCCCCCCCCCCCCCCCCCCCCCCCCCCCCCCCCCCCCCCCCCCCCCCCCCCCCCCCCCCCCCCCCCCCCCCCCCCCCCCCCCCCCCCCCCCCCCCCCCCCCCCCCCCCCCCCCCCCCCCCCCCCCCCCCCCCCCCCCCCCCCCCCCCCCCCCCCCCCCCCCCCCCCCCCCCCCCCCCCCCCCCCCCCCCCCCCCCCCCCCCCCCCCCCCCCCCCCCCCCCCCCCCCCCCCCCCCCCCCCCCCCCCCCCCCCCCCCCCCCCCCCCCCCCCCCCCCCCCCCCCCCCCCCCCCCCCCCCCCCCCCCCCCCCCCCCCCCCCCCCCCCCCCCCCCCCCCCCCCCCCCCCCCCCCCCCCCCCCCCCCCCCCCCCCCCCCCCCCCCCCCCCCCCCCCCCCCCCCCCCCCCCCCCCCCCCCCCCCCCCCCCCCCCCCCCCCCCCCCCCCCCCCCCCCCCCCCCCCCCCCCCCCCCCCCCCCCCCCCCCCCCCCCCCCCCCCCCCCCCCCCCCCCCCCCCCCCCCCCCCCCCCCCCCCCCCCCCCCCCCCCCCCCCCCCCCCCCCCCCCCCCCCCCCCCCCCCCCCCCCCCCCCCCCCCCCCCCCCCCCCCCCCCCCCCCCCCCCCCCCCCCCCCCCCCCCCCCCCCCCCCCCCCCCCCCCCCCCCCCCCCCCCCCCCCCCCCCCCCCCCCCCCCCCCCCCCCCCCCCCCCCCCCCCCCCCCCCCCCCCCCCCCCCCCCCCCCCCCCCCCCCCCCCCCCCCCCCCCCCCCCCCCCCCCCCCCCCCCCCCCCCCCCCCCCCCCCCCCCCCCCCCCCCCCCCCCCCCCCCCCCCCCCCCCCCCCCCCCCCCCCCCCCCCCCCCCCCCCCCCCCCCCCCCCCCCCCCCCCNGGCTGGGGGGGTCGAGGGGGGCGATGGGTTGTCGGCGGGGGGCGTTGGGGGGATTGGGGGGGAGAGTTTTTTCTTCTCCCTTTGTCCCTATGCGCCCCTCGTCTACACCAGCGGTCAGGAAGAGCCGAGGTTTGCCGAGTGGCGCGACCGATAGCACCCGACGCCGGCTCACTGCGAGACATCACGTAGCCGGTGTTGCTAGGTGCTTCGGTGGGGTTGTCCGACCGGTGGGAGTGGGGGGTGAGGATATATAAGGGGCTTCACGCCAGCCGGCGAATCAGTTGATTGAGAAAGCGAGGGGAGTCTGTGACGATAATACGCCGACGAGACTTTAAACAAAAGTAACCGGCTTCGTTGAGTAATTTGACATATTTTTTTGAGGGTTCTGCTGGAGCTGTTGATATCGGCTTCTTCGAGTTTGTCGACACCACGGAGTGACAACGAGCCGTTGTTGTCGGTTGATATTTTTTTATTGGTCCGGTTATTAGAGGTGCTTCTGTGATTTCTATTCAGAGACAATGGAGGTTTTATCGTGCCCTGTTAACGTCAATTTCAGTAACAGTAGAGGTAAGTAATTCTAGGGTTTATTGGGGGTTTAGGGGGTGGGGGAGGGAATACTTCAAGGGCACCGCAGGACAAAGGAAGCCAGCTGATTGAGAGTGCCTTAATCAGCTGTTTTCCGAGAATATCAGGGTTTTTGAACTCGTTTTGATTGATTGGGGGATTAAAGTGTCGTTAAGTATGAGTAAATGGTAATTAGGAATTTCGTTTTATTTGGAGAATTGGAGGAATCAAGAGTTAACTACATCTCCTCGACTCCCCTCCCCTTCCACCACTTATTCTCAACCCGGCTGTTCTGTTCGTGCGGGCAGCAACACACACGCACACGCAGAAACTTGGCGAGTAGTTGCATCACTCTCACTCCTCCCGTTCTCTATTTAAAGCTTTGATTAGTGGATTCTAAGCTGTCATTTGAATTCAAGGTTTGGAGTGAATTGAAAAAATTGAATCGTTTTTTTTTTTCTGCAGCTGGATATGTGACTGACGAATTGGACGGTGCATGTCAGGCACTGGCCAAGAGACTCGAGGTCGAACTACGGGCGGCTAAACATGCTCAGTTGACGTGCGGCGAGGTATTATTGCCGGCTGATCTCCTACCCAGAATAGCCAAAGATGTTCTGACAATGGCAGAAAACGAGCCCTGCGGTCTCAGGTACGAGATTTAGATATCAATGGGGGGCTTTGAATTGAAATTGTGGGGCAAGTGGACGTGAGCTTGAATAATTTTGGGAAAATTTTGGGGGGGAGGGGAGAGGCTTCTTGAGGTGATGAAACAGTTTTGGAGATTTTCAGGCGTTAGTTTTTGGGAGTTTGTTGCGTCAGAATAGTTTGGGAATATTACATTCTTGAGACATGTTGAAAGATAATATTTCTACCATTCACTTTTTACGAAGAAGTCGATAAATAAATAATGGGAATTTTTTAAATTTCGAAGCATTTTTTTTTCACATAAAAAATGGGAAATTTATTGTTTCAAGTTGTTGACAAAATTACAATTATTTTATGAATTAGAAAAGAAGCTCGAATTGAATATCTGAGTGAGGATTTTGATGAAAAAATGAAAAATTATTTTTTTTAATAGTTTTCAAGCCTCAGTTTTTGGGACTTTATTGCGTCAGAATAGTTTGGGAATATTACATTCCTTGAGACACGTTAAAAAACAATATCTTTACCATTCACTTTTTACGAATAAGTCAATAAATAAATAATGGGAATTTTTTGAATTTCGAAGCAACTTTTTCTCACAAAAAACTGAGAAATTTATTGTTTCAAATTATCGAGAAAATTGAAATTATTTTATGAATTAGAGAAGAAGCTCGAATTAAATATCGGGATGACGATTTTGATGAAAAAAAAAAGAAAAATACTCAATTATTCTAATGTCTGTATTTTATTTTATTTATTACAGAGGTTGCACACTGTTCATAAACTTCGAAACAGACAGTATGTGTCGAAGACTATCGAGAATACAGTGTGATCCCAACACAGTATCAACATTCGAACTCTATTTAACTCTCAAACAGGACCATACATCGTGGCACATACTCCTGCCGCAGTTTCTCAAGTGAGTTTAAACCTCATTACAAGTCAATTTTGACTATTGACCAGTTTTCAATGAATATCTCGGAATCTAAGGGAGATAGCACAATTTTTGTTATAATCTTTTTTGTAGAGCCGATTGAGAGCTACAAAAAATGTCATATCGAAAATGACGCTATCTCCCTTGGATTGGGAAATATTCCTCAAAAACTCAACTGGGAGATAAGCCGACTTGAAAATGCTAATTGTTCGGGGGCTCAATTAACGCTCAATGCTAATGCTCAATGTTATCCCTTTTTCAGAAATCTCACCCGCGGCGGTACGATAATGATCAGCCGTGATTTCACTCTGGAAAAGAAAAAACTCTACAGATCCTATCAGCAGGAGCATTGAAGGAGTTACGTATCACGGTAGAAAAAAAAAAACAAGTATTTGAGGAGAAAAACTGTAAAATATGGTTCGTCCTTGTTTTAACCATAAAAATACAAAAGGCATGCCTGATCATTGGCATTGTCTACCCAGTGACTCATCGAGACAGCCTGTGAGACTCAACATTTCAATATTGAAGTGATAAAGATGAAAAAAACAAAATGTAAGTTTGATTGTTCAATCAACATCACTTGCTTCTGGAATATCGTTTACAATCGATTAATCGAACGATTGAAATATTAATTGTAAGAGTAATCATGATATTAGGGGTGTGGGAGATATATTTCAATGTTGAGAGAAAATATTTCGTGCCTCGAATTCATTTTATTTATTTTTTAATTTTATTTTGAGGTAAAAGAGAAGTACATTGTGATAGCAATTTCAATGGATAAATGATAAAAATACAAATTTTATGTAGTCATAGTCAGTATGCTCTTCTAAGAAGAGATATATCATCGTTGGTGGAAATGCCTCAGTGAGACTTGTAAGACAAAATATTATAATTATGATAATAAAATCGAGAAATCATTTGCCACGTGATATTCAAGTGTTTGAAGGGGAGTAAAAATCCATTTGCAAATTGATGAAAGTTCTATCGCATTGAGCGAGATGTATGATACATTCATCTGTTTTCACGAATGATTAAGGAGCAGTTATTTGCAGAACATGAGCAACGATGTATTTACATTAGATTTACCAATACACCAATATTCATGAGGGAGTCACTGCACACCACTGAATGTGCATACATTATTCTCAGCTGCTCAGCTGAAACACTCGTTCATTCTTTCAAGTTTTTTTTTCTCCTCGTTTCGCTCGATTTGCAATGTTTTTTTTTTTTTCATTATCGCATTAATATCTTTTTTTTACTATTTTTGTACTTAGATAAATTGACACTAGAAACTGCATTTTTACGTCATTATTTTGCCATACAAATTGCACGATTAAGGGAAGAATGAAGTTGGGGAAATTTTTCGTTTCTTTCTCTTGTTTTTTTTTTTTGACATTGATTTGTTAATTAGAATATCAACGCACGTGGCAGTTGAAGTAAATTGAGTAGTTCATTTTAAATCACTTGAAAAATGAACATAATGCCAAATTGAATTGGTGGTTTTTTGTGATATTACCTGAATGAAAAAACAAAACAAAAAAATTTATGAAGTAAATGTAAATTGTGTGATGATTGATGAGAAAAGGGGGTTTTTAGTTGATTGGTGTGCTGTTCTGATAAATTACGGGAAAACTAAATTTACCTGATTGATATTGAGAGTGAAGTTTAATGAAATTCAGGAAAATTAGTAATGGGAAATGTTATCTGGGGCACGAACGCACAGGCAATGGGGGGGGGGATTGCGAACTCGGAAAATGAATCATCCANCAAGGGGGGGGGGGGGATTGCGAACTCGGAAAATGAATCATCCAATATTTGCATTGATAAGTTTTTTAACTTGTAAAGAATAAATGCATGTGATCTTCATTAATGAATAAGTAGTGATTAGACAGAGTATAAAAGAAAATGCTATGATTACGTTATATTTTATACTGAGTTGAAGAATATTGTAGAGTCAGGAAGAAAAAAATGAGGAAAATGATATAAAAATGTGTATTTAATTTTTTCACGTAATTCATAATCAATTGAGTATATTCGTCCGAGTAATTAGGCAGTTTTGTTTAGAAACTTAACTAATAAAAGATGAATCTTTGTATCATACATATCCCACCGATGTTACACTCGTAATTGTCTGTAAATAATCGTAATCACAAATTTCATTTCTACATTGATTTCATTTTTTTTTAGCCTTTGTTACAATTTCAAGTATTGAATCAATAGAATAATCGCAATAAATTCATGACAGTATTGTTTATATTTCGCACCAAGCTTATTGTTAACTGATTGAACAACTATCAGACCAGACATTTGCCACAGGCAAAGGTATAAACCAACAAATCAGTAAACAAGATTATAAAGAACCATAAACAATTTATTACAATGTAATAATTATCGACTTTTGCAATATATATTTTGTATTATGTACTACACCACTATGTGATGCTATTTTTAATTCGTAATGTTCACTTGTAGGAACTTTCAAGTGCTGAAAGACATTTGATGAATAAATTTTGTTTATTATGATGAGAAAAATAAATGCCTTTTGGGTAATAAAATAACTCCTCATGAACTCATTCCCTACATCATAGTAACGACAACAATAAAATAGTAAAAGTACAGCGGTGAAGATGGAGGAGAGAGAGACAAGAGTAGGATGAAGAAAAATGACATAAAACGAAGAGGCAGAGAGAGAAAGAGGGAGAGAGACAGAGAAAAAAACACATCGGGAAAACCGGTTTAGAGAGTTGAACACTGGTTGCAAAAGTACGAGATGGATCCGGGCGCGGCTCCAATCGCATCAATAATATATTCTCCTCAATTTTATTCTCTACCCATTTCCACTCCATACATATGGAAAAGTCGTTTCTAAAAATAAAGTCTCTGCATTATCACGTTATTAATCATGACATTTTTTCAAATAATTCAATGAGTTTAGCAGCCGTTTCTATTCGCGTTTGACGGGCTGAAGGCACTGAGCATTCGGCTAACATTATTTTCAAATCTGGGTAACGACTTGAAATATCTTTTGGCACATCGTGTAGGAAACCACCGGAGATTGTCGCTGTACTAGATTCGGGGGACAGTATGTGCTGTTGTGACATTAAGAATACCAATTAAATTCACTGGGATCGGCGCAAGATGCTGATTATTTTTTACCTTGCAGACTGCGTAGTAATTGTGATCACTTAGTCGGTGACTGCAGATGTCTAGGGGGGAAAATGCGAAGCAATTTTTGCAGGCGAATGTCTCCTCGGTTTCGTGCAATTCCCTAAAGTCGTGGATTTTATCTGGAAAACAAAAATAATACGAAAAATGTAAAGACAGCGTTTTTTCCTGTTTCTTTTGCTTTTAGAATTATTTATTGTTATTTATTTTGTTTTATTTCATAGTCAAACAAGGTTAATAATTAAAAAATGCGAAGTAATGCGGTACCGTTGGAAAAACTGTTTTTCTGGACAACAATGATGTGCTCCAGATCAACGAAAATCGGTTTATATTCGTCGTTAATAGCGATGTTATCGGGGGACATGTCAGTGAGGTAAAAAGAGAACTCTGGATCATGAAAAGTCAGCATTTGCGCTGCTCGCAATAATCCCGCAGCGATTTTAGCCCTGAGAAGCCAGGGAGCATGATAATAAGCTGGTAATGGGAGGCCTACGTATTCCTCGATAACTATTCTCCCACAGGCCCCGTAGTATCGAGGCACTGGCCAGCCCTCCTCAGCTCGCAGTATCTAATTGCATATTTCATCATCAATTACCCACTGAATTCCCTCTTATTCTGTTATTGTTTATTCAATTCACTAGTGAAGCGGTAAAACAGTTCCAGTCAATTTCGTCCAGCGGTTTTCGGCGAATATCTCGGAATTGAGGGGAGATGGCGAAATTTTCGTAATGACCTTTTTTGTGGAGCGAATTGAGAGCTGCGAAAAAGGTCATTACGAAAATTTCGCTATCTGCCTTGGATTCCGAGATATCCATCGAAAACCGAGCAATAGTCAGAATTGAACGGTTTTTTTTCTTCACGACTGAATTCACCTCGAGAATTATTGGCTCCGGGTTTATGCGGACTAGAGTCCAGAGATTTGAATCGTTCAAGTATCTCGAACCTCTCAATTTATCGAAAAATATTGTGCTCGTTGGGTTTGGGCATATTATCAAGCCGCTTCGATCGTCACTAATGAAATCAGAGGAAACGTCGTTCAAGATACGCGAGAAATAATCAATACTGTGTGCATGCTCATTGTTGTAGTTTCTTGCGGCGCAACAATCCAAGCCCTCTTTACATATCATTTGATCAAAGGCCTCGAGTTCCTCGTACTGCGCTAATTTTTTCACAACGATTTTTTTGCCATTCGATTCACCGAAGAATACATTTTTCGATGGGAGAATGTGGGACATTGTTGTACGAAAGTCGAATGGTTTGATTTTTATATTTTCGTTTAGAACCTGGGGACAGGCGGATGAACCGTAACAAGCGGGACATTTTTCGAATTCAGCCAGGGAACTCACGGCGGGGCACAAGAGATTTTTTAAATAATTTATGGTTATTATTGACAGGAAGAGGAGGGAGACGATTTTTCTGCGGAACTTTGATATCTTTTGAAAACACATACTTGAATTTATGGGGTTAGGGGAGCTCCAGAGGGCGCTGGAGCATAAAAACAACAATTGGATAACACATGTTAGTGAACAGCAACGAAACCGTTGTATTTTTTCGTTATTGACAGGTGATTAACAATTGAAAGAGGAATGGAAACAATTGGGGGACCTGTGGATGTGGATTATCATGGGATTCTGTTGAAACTCACGACTGCAGGTGATTAGATCGAATATTTTAATTAATGGAGAGGTTAAAGGATTGTTTATTGACATTAAAAACGTTCGAGGGTGCCCAAGTACTTTGCTCATTATTATTTTGTTGGAATCTTTTTCAAAATTTGTCGCTGAAGACGAAAAATTTTCATTTTTCACCCTAAAATTGATTTCGATTTCGAAATTCGCTTTTTTTGTAATTCATAAATTAAAATTTAATTTCAATTTACTCTCTTGATTTATTCATAAGTAGTCAATTTAAAAAACAACGAATACTTTCAAATCATTCTCATTAACAATGGCTCTTGCACTTTAATTTCTTAGAAAATTGTAAAATCCATTTGAATACCTCTAAATGCTCGCCACAATATTTCCAGGATGTCGTAACAATTCTGTGCACATTCAATACTTCATCATAAATTAATTTCATATAAAAAAAATTACGTGCTTAAAAATTTAATTTTAATTCATTCTCTTGATTCGTTCATAAATAGTAAATTTTAAAAAACAACGTAATCTTTCAAATTTTAGTCATTAACAATTCCTCTTGCACTTTAATTCTTAGAAAATTGTAAAATCCATTCGAACATCTTTAAATACTCGCCCGAATATTTCCAGGATGTCCCAAAGATCCAAACTCCATCGAATGCGAAGTGTTCGATCTGCTCCCCGAAAAATCAAAGAGAGAGATAGAAGAATCCTGCAACAATGGAGGGGACACAGCTGCCAGTCGTAAATACCTCCAGACAATTCTCCACGTCCTGGAGGACCTCCACAGAAATGTTCTATCGAAAAGCGAGACATTTATGAGTGTCAACGAGTACAGATGCGTGAAAACAGCGATAGAACACACGATATCCATCGGAATCTTCCCCTGTTTGATACCAGACATTTCGAGAGAGCTGAGGGTCCTCTACCCCTCAGTCCTGAGTATCCAAGAAGACCTGAATGATTTGGTTAAATACAACAGACTATCGACGACAGTGAGAGCTGTGTTGAGCCTGTTCTCAGAGATTTCGTTGAGGCCAGCTATTTTAACCCAACTGGGGCCCCTCCTGGGGGCTCTCGTCCAGCTGTCCCACGCGCCTCTGACGAAGCCAAAGCCCCCGGAGACCCCTGAACCCTCAAACTTCCAGATGTCCCCAGAACTCTACGAGAAATTGCAAAAAGATCAGATGGAATTCAAGGGCATTCTCGGTGACACTATAACCAATTGTCCTCAGTCTGCAGTTATAAAAGAGCTGATGGTCCTCTTCGGCCTCCAGAACATCCCCCAGTGGGTCAAGAGAAACGTTAAACTCTACTTGATCAATTTGATAAAGGAACCGACAGGAGTTTACTCCCTAATAACAGCCACCTGCCAGGACACTGTGGACCTGGGAATCCACTGGGACAGACTGGACACAATATCGAAATTGATAGCCCTGAATCACGGGAATAATCCTGAAGAGTATTACTCAACCGTTTGCTATCAACTCCTGGAACTTTTGTCGTCGACTGCTGCGAGGAACTCCTCGGAGATGGCTAGAACGTGCATAAGAGCTCTTCAAGAGGTTCACCCTGAGGTCTGCAGGGTTAAAATCATCGAGAAGATTTGTGAACCACTTCTGATAACTCGTGACACGTCCGACGTTCGACTGAGACCTAGAGGTGAGGCTGACGTGTCCAAGTGCTTGGAGAACCTCACGAAATTGTTCATCTCCACAGATGCTAAATTCAAGTGTCTCCCGGTGGATTTGATCTCCGAAACGGCAGTTCCTTTATTCTGTATTTACAGAAAAACATGTCATAGCCCTTGTGTTCTCAGGCTGAAATCGAAGGAGTTGTTGATTAATCTGCTAAACTCATTTGACTTGAGGGACAAATTATTTTGCGCGTTTCTGGGGCACGACATTCACCCTGGATATTTCGGAGTGAGACTGAAGTTTGAATTCGGTCCCTCAGGGGGTTTGGAGGCCACAGGAGAAGTTGAGGAGAGCAGTCCAGAGGATTCAGCAGACTGTCTCCTCGATCTCGTCAAAGATTCTCTTGATCTGCCCTGGCACCTCTTCAATTACTCTCAATACTTCTTCTGCAAGACTAGAAGACGTGAGGCTGATATTCTGGACCGATTGGAGAGTCAGTTGGTGGTGATGAAGCTGCTGCTGACACTGGCAAACTGCAAATGCGTCCAGGAACATCAGCTGAGGCATCCGGAGCACCTCATCGGGTTCATAACGGAATTATTTGATGACTCTTTCGTGTCTCGAGACGATGACGATCACGTGGATATTCTCTATGTCAGTTTGATGCTGATCAAGGAGATAGTGGCGGAGAGAAGGAAGCCGAGGGAGTGGAGCTGGACACCTTTCGAAAATTTATCGAGATTTCTGAAGGAGAAGCTGGCCACCTGGGAGTGCCCAGAGAATCTGAAATCTCTCATTGACGAGGTACAACGAATCGTCAGGCAGAGGGGGGTCTCCCCTCGTTTCGAAGACCTCAGTGTTGACGAGAAGAATGAAAGTGCTTTCGATAAAGCCCTGAAGGACCTGACAGATCCACTGCTGCCAGTCAGAGCTCATGGGTTGATCACTCTGACCAAATTAATCGAGACGTCGAGCTCAACGATCACTGGGAAATCAGATCTGCTGGTTTATCTGTTCCAGCAGAACCTCAGAGACGAGGATTCCTTCATTTATCTAGCGTCGATCAATGGACTTTGTGCACTGGCACTGAAATTTCCACAGAAGGTCATCGGAATTTTGATACAGGAGTTCACGGATATGACGAGAGAGTCGGATTCTACTGGGGTGGCACCGGAAAATCGCGCTAAACTGGGGGAAATTCTGGTGAAGACCACGCGAATGCTGGGGGAGATGGCACCAGCCTACAAGAATACTCTGATAAACGGCTTTCTTTGTGCTATTCGAGACGCAGATCCCATGGTTCGTGCCTCCAGTTTATCGTGTCTGGGGGAGCTCTGCAAAGTCCTGGGATTTGCTCTTGGAAATGCTGTAATTGAAGTTCTTTATTGCATCGGCTGTATCATTGAAACAGACAAATTTCCGGAATGTCGACGGGCTGCTGTTCTAGTGGTCACTTTGCTCATTCGGGGTCTCGGTAAAGATGTACTGGAAAATCTGGACAGTCAACTTTTGCCTGTTTATCGTGCCCTCAAGCACCTCAGGGATAATGACGATGATCCTGTTTTGAGGCTTCATGCACAATTAGCGCTGGAGGAGCTCGATGACGTCGTAAAGAGGCTTTTATTCGAAAAACCTCAGCTTGAGAAGAGAATTTTTTTGCTGAGGTGATGGGAAAGAGAGAGTTTACGACTGTCTGTGATGCTTCATGAAAAATTATTCAAAAAATCTTATTCTTTATTAATAAAACGATGATATTTTTCTTTTGACATGGGTTAGTCTAGATTTCATTGGTGGATTGAGACCGTGAATTAACAAACTTAATTAATAGCTATAGCTAATCAATGAAAATTGATGATTTCGCCTTTGAAAGATTTTTTTTTTTTTTTTTTTTTTTTTTTTTTTTT